CAGTTTTCATGCTATACCAATGCACACAGATTATGAAATATATCTTCAAAAGATGTAAACTCAGGGCTGGCCAAATAGCTCAGCATATTAAAGCACCTGCAAGCAGGTGCAGGGGCCTGGGTTCAATCCCAGGCCTGCCATACTGGCCCCATCCCCAGGATGCACTGAGACAGCAATTGAGACTAGGTGTGGTGGCGCGCACGTGTAATCCCAGCACTTGGGAGGCTGTAAACAGGAGAATCACTGAGGTTCCAATCTAGTAGTGAGACCCTGAATACCCTGAAGACCCTTCCCTAAAAAATAAAAAAAAAAAAAAAAGATGTAAACTCTTACTTTAACAAAACATGATGGTACTATTATATAAAAAAATGAATGCAGAATTTTGAAGTCACTGGTATTGATATTTTTAATCCATCATATTAATGTTTGAACTTCCAATCACTTCATAAATTTCTTAAAAAATTTTTGAGGCAAAACTCAGATAAATCCAGGCATGGTTAGTGCATGCCAGTAATCATAGGACTTGGGAGGCAGAGAGAAGAGGATCACTGAAAGTTTGAGGCCAGCCTGGTCTACATAGCAAGTTCAAGGCCAGCCTTAACTTCATAGTGAGACCCTATCTCTTCAAAAAATAAAAAAACCTCAAATAAGATCTATGTAATATTTCTATTATCTATCTATCTATCTATCTATCTATCTATCTATCTATCTATCTATGTGATATATACACATATCATGTACATTATAGCAACCCCACAGCACAAGTTTTATTATGCCCACTGTATAGGACAAAACTAAATATCAGTAAGATAAATGTCTTTTTCAAGTCCACACAACTGGCAAATGACAGAAGCAGAAGTAGTATGGCTGGCTCCCAAAGATTATCCGCCAGCTCCCAGCTCTTTAAATATAACAACTGAGTTGTAAGAATAATAGCTGCCTTCAGGCCAGTGAGATAGCTCTGCAGACTAAGCACCTGCTTAGGCAAGCTCAGGGACCGGGATTCGATCCTGGGTACCACATGCCGCACCAGCCCATCCCCCAGGCATGCTGAGCCTGAGCCAGCAACTGAGACAGGGTGTGGTGGCACACACCTATAATCCCAGAGCTGGGGAGACTAAAACAGGAGGATCAATACAAGTCTGAGCTGCATAGTGAGACCCTGTACCATATACATAAAAAAGAATAATACCTGCCTTCAAAGAGATTACATCTGTTTAAGAGAAATATAAATTATTTAGACAACTAAAAAATAACAAATAGGAAAATACCATATGAAACACAAATAATGAAAATGTGTGAATTTTTCAAGTGGTGGCTAATACAAATGAGCAGTAAGGAAGAAGAGGACATTAATTGAAGTTCCTGGCAGAGGCTTCATTAACCAATGCAGAAATTATTGCAAATATAAAAGCTTTCCCAATGAGCAAAGGGTCCTTTGCACAAGCATCTTCTCCCTTGGGATCCATGTCACACTGACACAAAGATTTTGTCACCATGGCAACTGGTCATTGGACCAATGAAATAATCAGTTGTCATGGTAACACAATCTCCATCTTACTCCCACCAGGCACCTGTTCTAAATCATCACGTCCTCCAATAATCTTATACCACCTAGTGCTCCTTTTTTCCCATAGTCACTGTAATCCCCCCAGACACCTATGTTGGAGCCCTTCAATTTGTGTTTGGATACATACATGAAACTGTTAAAGCCAGAGCAAATGAAAATGGCTCTGATGTGTAAGTTGTGTTACAGAGGGAAAACCCTTCAAATGTAAATGCTGAATGATCCTGAGCACTAAAAAGGAGCATGCGATGCCTCCCTCCTAGCACCATCCTGTGTAAGACTACTTTAGATTTTGAGAGATTGCACCACCTTGGTTATCCTGCCTCTATCTATTCTTCTATTGGCTCCATTTTCTCTTCTTGGCTTCTAAATGCAGGTGTCTCTTGAGGCTGCACCCTTTTTTTCTGCCTGATACATAGCAACTAGTCACAGGAAGGCTACTGAACCCTGGAAATTAATCATACATGTGCTGGACTGAGATGTGCGATAAGATGTATACAGGATTTTAAAGACTTACAAAAATTACAGATTGTTTCACTAGCAATTTTTATTAGCTACATGTTGAAATGATAATAATTTGGATATTGTGAGTATGATAAACTATATTATTCATCTCACCTTTTTATTTTCTGTATTTTTAATGTAGATGATGACTATTTAAATAGCATATGGGGGTTGCATTCACAGCTTGTGCTAATTTCTATTGGACAGAGCCACCTTATCAATACCCCTAGGGGTCAAGTCTTCCATCTATGGACTGATTCTAAGATCCCAAATCATCACCTCTTTCCTGAGATTCAAATCTACATTTCTAATAGCCTGCCAGCCTTTTTGTAGATAACCTCCAGTCTTTAAGAGCATCAAGAACAAAGCTATAATCTTTCTCTAAAAGCCCATCCTCTTTTCTCTTGGTCTTATTAACCTTTGCAGTTGCTATTATTGCACCTGTAACAAAGTGCTAAAAACTTTATGGCCTAAAATAACATAAATTTATTGTCTTATGATTCTTTTTTATATATATATAATGTATTTCACACAGGGTCTCACTTCGCAGCTTGGACTCATAGTGATTCTCCTTCTTTCAGCCTCCCCAGAGCTGGGATTACAGGCATGCACCCCAAGGCTGGACTCAATAGGCAGCTCAGCATGCCTGGGGGTGAGGCCAGTGTGGCATGTGGTGTGGGGAATCGAACCCAGGGCCTTCCAATTCTGGATCACTGGGCATAAAACAAGGTGTCACACGTCTGCATTTCTCAGGAGGTTCTGAGAGCGAGTCCATTTGCCTTTTCCAACTGCTATCACGCTCGTCACTCAGACACTGCTACCCTCTCTGTCACTCTGCTAAACTGACATATTACATTGATAGATTTTGGGGCACTTAGTTTCCTTCTAGTTACTGAAGAAAGTCACTTATAAAAGCTGTAACTTAGTGCTTGCAGAAATAATTTTCTTTTTTTTTTTTTTTTTTGGTGGAGCCGGGGATTGAACTCAGGCCCTGGTGCTTGCCAGACAGGTGCTTATTCAACTGAGCTATCTCCCCAGCCCCAATTTTCATTTTTTACTATTGATAGTACATTGATTTAAATAAATTAAATTATATAACTACATCATTAATCACACATGACATCAATGTTATGAAATAAAGTAGAATCAACCTGGATGAACCCTAAAACTCAAGTCACAGTAGCCCGTTACCAACAAGGATGGGCTCCTTCCTTTTTTGTTTTTGTTCCTTTCTTTTTTCCCATAGTCACTGTAACCCCCCAGACACCTATGGTGAACCGTTAAGTTTATGGTTGGTTACATATATGAAACTGTTAAAGTCAGAACAAATGAAAATGGCTCTCATGTATAAGTTGTGTTACAGAGGGAAAGAGCTGAATGATCTTAAGGACTAAAAAGGAACCAACCCAACAATCCAGAATCCCCTCCATCTCTCAGGGTTAGCTGGTGGGAAATCCTGATACAAGCCTTGATCTTAATCTGTCTCTGCCATGTAACATCATGTTCACAGAGGACTCAGGGATTACAGCATGGGCATTTCATGGACTAGGCAGAAATGGGGGATTTGTGTAGTCAACGTGAAGAAGAAAAGAAATGACAATCAGAGCAGATCCCACCAGGCTAAAAACATTGCTTTTAAAGCAATTGGTGATATATAGAGAGAAAGTAAAAGGCTAAGTCTCTAGTTCACTACAAAATTTACTTTTTTATACTGGTAATTCCTCACATACAGTTATACTTTCACTCTGTGGTCTGTGATAACTTTTGTATACATCTTACTATATTTTGTTCTATGAATAGATATTTAAGCATTTGGCTTTAACCTCTCTTACTAGGTTGGAAAATATTTTAAATATAGAAAATACATTGCTTTTGTGTTTGTCCATGATATCTAACATGGTACTATTAATTTATAATGGTTTCTCGAAGAATGTTTCTTAAATTTAGTAGACTAGCAGCAACTCATGTTTTTGCTGTTGCTATTATTGTTTTAGGGGACATTCACTGTTTTTTGAGACAGGATCTCACTATGTGATTCACGCTGACCTTGACCTCACTATGCAGCCCAGGCCAGCCTTGAACTTACAGAAATCCTCCTGCCTCAATGTCCCTACTGCTGGGATTACAGGTATGGCCACTATGCTCCGTTACTCATGCTGGTGTACTTAGGATGTGCTTGTCACACAGCCACTGGTTTCCTTAAACAGAAGACACTTTCTCAATTGACCTCCACTTAACTAATAGCCTCTACTTTACCTTCAAAGAACCATCAGTTCGAATCCTTGTCAGTACTGGGTTACTGTGACTTGAGTTTTATGGTTCATCCAGAGTTGGTTCTACTTTATTTCATAACATCGATGCCATGTGTAGTTGATAATGTAATTATATAACTTAATTTATTTAAGTCAATGTACTATTTTTTTTTTTTTTTTGGTGGAACCAGGGATTGAACTCAGGTCCTTGCGCTTGCCAGGGAAGAGCTTATTCCACTGAGCCATCTCCCCGGCCCCTCAATGTACTATTAATAGCAAAAAAGTGAGAATTATTTCTACAAGTGCTAAGTTGTAGTTTCTACAAATGACTTCAGTTTCTTCTGAAACTAGAAGAAAACTAAGCACCCCAAAATCTATCAATGTAATATACCAGTTTAACAGATTAAAGGAGAAAACAATGAAGAATTCCACAACTGCAGAAAAAGGATGAGCAAGATTACTGATTTGTGATTTTAAAAACATTTAAAACTGAGATTAGGGGCTGGCGAGATGGCTCAGTGGTCTAAAGCACCTACTTGGAACAAGCTTGGCAAAGCACAGGGACCACGGTTCGATCCCCCAGCACCACATGCCAGCCAGCCTCGCCCCCTGGTGGGCTGAGCTGGCCACACACACACACACACACACACACACACACACACTCACTAAATAAATAAATGAAGGCGTCCCGCAGTAGCGGGCGGGCTCGGCGAGGACGCCACGAGTCAGGGCTGGGGGGCGCGGCGGAGCGAGGCGCGGGGGAGGCTCGGCTGGAGGAGGCGGTCAACCGCTGGGTGCTCAAGTTCTACTTCCATGAGGCGCTGCGGGCCTTTCGGAGTAGCCGGTATGCAGACTTCAGGCAGATCCGGGACATCATGCAGGACTGTTCCTCTGATATGGAGGCTGAGCTCACACCATTGGAATCAGCTATGAATGTGCTGGAGATGATTAAAACGGAATTTACACTGACAGAAGCAGTGGTCGAATCCAATAGAAAACTGGTCAAGGAAGCTGCTGTCATTATTTGTATCAAAAACAAAGAATTTGAAAAGGCTTCAAAAATTTTGAAAAAACATATGTCCAAAGACTCTTCATCTCAGAAGCTCAGAAGTGATCTCCTCAACATTATCCGAGAAAAGAACTTGGCCCACCCTGTTATCCAGAACTTCTCCTACGAGACCTTCCAGCAGAAGATGTTGCGCTTCCTGGACAGCCACCTGGATGACACAGAGCCCTACCTCCTCACGTTTATGCCTCAATTGGATTTGTAGGTAGTTTGTATACTAAGTATGTTTATGGTGAAAGCAGCAGGGAGTGAGTGAGTTCTGTGCTGTGTCCTCCTGATGGCAACCGCTCTTTCCCGGATGGCCAGAAAGGCTTTGAGATCTGAGTCTGCAGCCTCAAGTACAGCAAAGGAGGACAAGCACCCAGCACCGCAGCCCGTGGAGAAGCCACTCTGAGAGCCTGCACGGCAGCTACAGAATACTCCAACTACTTTTGGTATTAGGACTCTGAAGGCAGCTTTCAAGGCTGTCTGGTGTCCAGGATTCCGAGGCGGCCTTCTCAAAACTGGACCAGAAGGATCTGGTACTTCCTAATCAAGCACCCCTGTCATCACCAGCCCTCAAAACCAAGAGACCCAGAAAAGATGAAAATGAAAACTCAGCTCCGGCTGAGGGTGAGGGCACCTCAGAACTGCAGCCTAAGAACAAGCGCATGACAATAAGCAGATTGATTTTGGAGGAGAACATCCAGAGTACTGAGCCCAACACAGGCCTCAGCTCCTCCCCAGAGGTTGTGTCCAAGTCCACTGTCCTCAGCCAAGCCCGCCCAGGGGAGAAGAATCCCAAAGTATCCAAAGGCAAGTGGAACAGCTCTAATGGGGTTGAAGAAAAAGAGACGTGGATTGGAGAGGACGAACTGTTTCAAGTTAAGGGAGCAACAGGTGAAAACAGTACAGCCAATGTAACGAGAAAGCAGAAATGGACTATAGAAGAAAGTGAATGGGTCAAAGCCGGAGTGCAGAAATACGGGGAAGGAAACTGGGCTGCCATTTCTAAGAATTACCCATTTGTTAACCGAACAGCTGTGATGATTAAGGATCGCTGGCGGACCATGAAAAAACTTGGCATGAACTGAAACAGGCTTTCATTTCAAAAGAATTCACAGGAGCATGGTTCCTAATAATAGTCCCTGGTAGTCTGCTGTTTCTTTCAGAAGATGGTATGGGATGAAAATTTGGGGCAGCCTCCTTCAATGTGGGGGAGCTTCCAGGGCCACTTCATCACTGTTGGAGATCATGGAGCTAAGAACTAAGAAGCAAAGCCACACCAATCCCATGTCCTTGGCAGAGATGACAGGCACACAGCTTGTACAGTGCCAGAGTATCATTAGTGTTTCCCTTCTTTAGTGATTTGCTGAAATTTAAATCTCCAGTAATCTATAGAACCTTCTCCTAAGAAATGGTGGAGCCTGTTAGGATCCACTTGTTTTTCCATGACCTGTCAAAACCAGCATCATGAGCATTATCTGGAGTGAACTTGTTCTGGCCTTCTGACACAAATGCAAAGAAACTCTTCTGTTATGAGCCCAAGTTGAGAGAACAGTCTCTGGAATCCGATTCCTTTTAAAGTGTTTACCCACTTGTGACATCAACCCTAGACCTGACTGCCTTGGCATTTGCCCCTAATATGTGCTGGGCTACACGGGCAGGTTTAACCTCCGCTTCTTATGTGGTTGAACCAGTGTGTTTCGGTAAAATTGTGATTGTAGATAAGCTTAGCCCCCCCATACCCCCCCACAACTCCTTTCTTGATTTTCTTCCTTATGCTGAACTTTTCAAGCTTAAAAAAAAATCCTGATTGAATATCAATGCCTAATTCTATTTGTGTAACAGTTGCTTCTGCTGATTCCCTAATTGTGCTGTGTTAGTGTCTTGCACTGGAATTCAACATTCCCTTCACCGTGTTGTACTTGCTGTCTCTCTCAGACATCCTTAAAGACTGTCTTTTTAGCAGAAAATTTCAGTAAAGTGTTTTCTGTAATTTTTTTTAAATATGAGAACTAATTATTGTCCATAAAAAATAAATAAATAAATGAAAAAATAAACTTAAAAAGAAAAGATTATTTAAATTAAAAAAACTGAGATTAGAAGGTCTTTATACAGTAATAATATGGTTGATTATATAAAAAAATCCAAAGATAATCAATAGAACATAATTTATTAAAACTAATGAAGAAAGTTGGAAAATTTGCCATAGTCAAAACTAATATGAAGAAATCAATAGCCTGTCAGTATCAATAAATAATTAGGACCTGAAATAGAAATGAAGATCCCATTGCCAATGACAAAAATAGCAAGATTACTAGGAATCAACTGGAAAAATGTGTAAGCTTATTGTGAAAATATATAAAATTTATATATAGAGAGAGACAAAGAGAGAGACAGAGAGAGAGAGAGAGAGAGAGAGAGAGAGAGAGAGAGAGAGAGAGAGGAGAGAGCTCTACCAGGTCCATGAGTTGAAAGATTCAATGTCATAAAGATATCAAATATCCCCAAGCTTATCCATGAATTCAATATAATTCTAAATAAAGTCCAAATATAACTCATTGTGGATGAAATAGCCTCATCTCAGAGATCAACTGGAAGTAGAGAAGCACAAGGCAATTTTGGAGATGTAGGACAAACTAGAAAGACTAAGTCACTAGTATAAAACTAAACTTATTTTGAAGTTATACAATTTAAGATGGAATGACATTGACTCAGAGAAAGGCAAATTAGTGAGTGAACAGACCCCAGAAAGAGGTCTTAGGCAATATGCAGAAATGGTACATTCAAATATATCATTACAAATATAGAGAGAAAGAGTAAATTATGCAATAAATAAGAAATTAGTTGCAATGGTTCCACATGATACTCCTGGACACACACACACACACACACACACACACACACACACACACACCATCTCCAAGGAGTCTCAGTGGCTACTGACATTTTTTCATCTCCCAGAACTTCTAGTTGCCTCCATCTCCCATAGAATGCCATGGTTTCCATTGCTCTTGATCCAGCAGAAGAGAAGCCACCAAGGCTGTGACCAGACTCACAGAGAATATGGGTCTTCCCATCACTATCAGGCTCACTTAAGCCATCAAGCACTCTTGAAAGCATTAGAGAGTAGTTTGACAACTGATTACACAAAAAAGTGATATAACGCAATCCAGACACAAACTGTCTTCCCATGGAGCAAACTTTAACAAAGAAGAAAGAAGTGGACACAGCAGGAAAAAGTACTTGGTGTTCCTCCTCTCTCTGACAGACTGTTCTGGGGTGTGGTGCTTCCACAAACCTGCAGGAAGAAGTCTTGAGTGACCAAGCCACAGGCTGGATTTTCTTTGGAAACCAGAGGCAGCTTGGTAACACAGCATTCTGTATTTCCTCTCTTTTCTTCCAAGCCTCCCATCTGTTTTTCCCTGACTGTTGCTGCCCTGGAATTGCACTGCTCAGTATCTTGGCAAATACCTAATGCCTTGGGCTGTTTTCTAGAGATTCTGATTGCAATTGTTGCAGATGTAAAAGTAGAGGAGAGTAGAATAATAATAGCTAGATGCTAGAAAAGGTAAGGAGAAGGAAGGATCGTGAAAGGCTAGGTAGCAGGTACCAAAATACAGTTAGCAGTAGTGTAGTCAGTTCTACTGTTCTACAGTACCATAGAATGACTATACTTACAGTAACTTAGTATGCATTTGAGAAGAACTAGAAGTCAAAAATACAGAATCTTGGGGGCCGGGGAGATGGCTCAGTGAAAAATAAGCGCTTCCCTGGCAAGCGCAAGTGCCTGAGTTCAATCCCCAGTTCCACCAAAAAAAAAAAAGTACAGAATCTCCATAATAAATAAAGAGATAGAAATGCTTATGGTCCTATTGGTCATTATCCATTCTATATATGTATTGAAATAGCACTTTATACCCCCACAAACATGTATAGTTAATTAAAAATAAAAATCTAAATGTTGAACAAATACAAATTACAAGCTACAATCTGACAAGGATAGGTATACATAATTTATAATAAATTCCTACAAATCATGAATACAAGATAAATAACAAATAGACAAAGAATAGAAACAGGCAATTCCTGGAAGAGGATTTCTGCATGACTAATAAATATATGAAAAGATAATGATACTCATTACTGACTATGAAATTCAAAATAAAAGCACTTATGATACCATTTTGCACATATCTAAATGGAAGGCAATGTAAAAGAATGATGGTACAAGTGTTAGATACGGGGCAATGAAATCCTATATTACCGGTGGAAACATAAATTGTTACAATCATATTAGAAAATAATTTTCAGATGGCCTACAATTCCAGAACTCAGGAAGCTGAGGCAGAAAGATCTCTACAAGTTCCAGGCTAGCCTAGGCAACATAATGTGTTCAAGGCCAGCCTGGACTATACAGCAAGACCCTGTCTCAGAAAAAAAAAAAAAAAAAAAAAAAAAGAATTTTCAAAGTATAGTTGTAAAAGTGAAAATGTACATGTCCTTCAATTCAAAAATTTCATTTCTTGTTACATTTGCTAGGCTAGAGAAGCCCTCACACAGATGTATTCAAAGAGTTACATATCTTGGGGCCGGGGGTAGATAGCTCAGTAAAATAAGCATTTGCCTGGCAAGCACAAGGGCCTGAGTTCAATCCCCAGTTCAAAAAAAAAAAAAAAAAGAGTCACATATCTGAATGGTTGGGTTAGGAATGCAATGCAGGGATAAAATGCATGCTTAGCACACATGAGGCCTTGAGTTGGAACCCCAGTTCTGCAAAACAACATTAAAAAAAGAGGGCCAGCAAGATAGCTCAGCGGACTAAGTGTCTGCTTAAGCAAGCACAGGGACTGGGGTTTGATCTCCAGCACCATATGCCACACTAGCCCCACCCCCAAGCACGCTAATCCCATACCCAGTGTGTGTGTGGGGGGGTGCCTGTAAGTCCAGTGCTGGGGAGGCTGAAAATAGGAGGATCACTATGAGTCTGAGCTGCACAGTGAGACCTTGTACTAAATACATGCATACATACATACATACATACATACATACATACATACATACTAAAATACAACCATACATTTATGGCACACATCTGTACATAAGTATACATAGAAACATTAGACATCAGACTCAGGTTGGTTTCATGAATAGAAGAGAGGACAGAAATGGAGTTAGCAGAGTTGGCATATTTCAAAAACCTGTACTTACAATGCTTATTCTGTTTAGCAAAACTCTATGTAAGTATGAATGGAAAATATTAGTATCTCCATAGCTGAATATCGGAACAGGTGTCCATTTTGGTTTTCTGTTTGTATATTTGCAATATTTTATTATTTTTAACTAAGGGGAGTGTTTTGGTAAGACTCAGTGAAGGTGAGTTACTAAAAAAAAACACAAAGAAGCAAAGACTACTATCAAATGTGGGCAAACAAGTGTCAAAAGATAAGTAAATAATTTTAAGTAATTTAAATTCCTTCATACAGATTTTTTTTTTTTTAGCCAGGTCTGTTTTAAATTCTTACACCATTTTCTAAAACTTCACCTGGGGAATCATAAAAATGTATATTATGAGTGTGTTTTATTTTTAAAAAATGATGTAGCATTCTAATCAGTGGGCTCATTTTGAAAGAACCTTGCCGTATATCAAACGATCAATGAACGAATGTATATCAATATCTTTGAAGTTAAAATACTTAAAGTAGCTTAAATTATATTTTTACATTTTGATTTCTTGCTTTGACAGAACTACTCCAATTTTGGTCTTGATTATACTGGACAAGAACGCTTCCACTCTAAGTGGCTGTCAACACAGATAGAAACTTCACTTGCACTCTGACAAGCTCTCAGGCTACAGGTCACTTGATGTGAAGAAGGTCATGTCGCCGTATCCCTCTGGTTGGAACAGCGTCCAATCCACCTCTGCCTTCTGTGTATCCTCTTCATAAAGTCCTAAATAAATGATCCTCTATAGTCATCCTTCAATATGCTCAGACACTGATTCTCAGATATCAATATCCATAAATATGCAAGTCTTTTACAGAAAATGCCATATTTGCATTTAACCTATTCATGTTCCCCTCTATACTTTAAATCATCTCTAGTTTACTTACATGCTTAATATCATGTAAATACTACGTAAGTAGACGTCACATTGGGAATGGTGACAAGAAAAAGTTGTATATTTATATAGATAGAATTGTTTTTCTGACTATTTTCAGTCAAGTTGTTTAATCTATGGGTACAGAGCCCTTAGATACAGGGACATAGTAACATTTACTTCCTTACAGTTCTCACTGGACCCTCCCTTCTGAGTTGCTTACACTGCACGTGTGGGCTAAACACTACTTGGATGTGATATAATACTATTTTACTTTTCTGATGGATTAAATTTGCCAAAGTTTTAAGATTTTTTCAATCTATAGTTAAAAGTGAAAATTATCTATACATGTCCTTTTGTATATGTAATATAATAGGATGAAAATTTGCATAAAGTAGAACATTTGTTACTTTCTGTAACTAAGTCTATCTTAATTCCAGCCTATGGATTCCTGCCAATAGCAGGGAGAATTATGATTAAATATGTTTATGTCTCTTGAATTTTAATTGAATTGAATCAACTCAAATGCACACCTCCTAATGGTTGTATTTACTTACTCACAAGCAGGAGAAAACTAATGCCATCCTGTGATCTTCCCTGAGAAGCCCCTTGTCCCACTGTTGATGTCCACTGAGGGAAGCCTGGTTCCACTTTATCTTTTGGGTATCATTTGCTTTAGAAGCATCTTGCTATGTTGCCCAGCTGGCCATCTGCCCCAGCCTCTGAGGTAGCTGGGACTAGCAGTACACACCACTATGCCCAGCTTTGAGTATCATTCTGGCACTTATTATTGAGATTCATCAACCCTACATTCTTTACTCTCTTCATGCAACCCGCGACTTTCTCCATCCAGATGGTTTTCCCCACATGTA